AAAAAAAAAAAAAAAAAAAAAAAAAAACAACAACGGTGAACGCGGAAGGTTTATACTTCGCAACGGCAAAAAAAACACACGCCCTGCAAATATATCACGGCGTGAGTTTGAAACGGTGAATTGGGTAGAAAAGAACCAGTTGGGCTTTTTTCCCCCCTTTCTTTCTTTCCCCATCTGACAACGTGGCCCACCACTGTAGTTACGACACCCGACCTGACACCTGTCCATCTGACTAGGGGTGATAGGAGGAGGAGAGGCGGAGCTCGGAGCCATAGATCTCATGGAGTCCACGCGAGAAATGAGATGTAAAGCGGGGATCGCGGTCAAAGACGATGCTAGTGGGAAGACCGTGATGGATGGCAATACGATTGAAGTATAGGGAGGCGATGTCTTTGGCTGAACTAGCATACTTGCAAGGGAGGAAGTGAGCATGCTTAGTCAACCGACAGACAACGACGAAGATGGCGTCGTGGCCTCATGGGGTAGGGGGACGAAGAGGGCTAATGAAGTCCATGGAAACAGAAATCCAACGCTGAGTAGGAATGGGTAAGGGTTGGAGAAGGTCATAGGGGGGATGGTTGGGAATGTTGGTCTCCTGGCAGATCCTGCATTCGAACTCTGCACCTGTTTTCTTTGTCGGCGCGTGCTTTTTTTGCTCATTCGATACCCCGAAGTGACATCAATGTACTTGCCCCCCAAACAAGACCTTGTGGCCAATCACAGACATTCTTTCACAAAGACAGCCTGTGCTCTAAAGCACGGCAAGTAATTAGGCCATGTATAATAAACAAAACAACCAGCAAAACATCCGTCCACAAAGGAAGAATAGCTTGCGAAGCCCGATCCAAACCACTCAAATCTGCTGGGATAGACAGTTAGAAAGACCGCACATGAGTGTTCCAACCATTGATAGTCATACGACAAGCGTACGACAAGATAGACGAAGGTGAGAATAAGAGGAGAAAAAAAAGCAGACGACTAAGATAAGTAAATCCGAGCACAGGTGCACATCGTTACGAAAGAAAATAGTGAAAACAACGATGTAGTACGGCGCGACTCGACGCTACGTTTCGACCAGTCGCCAACTGGTCATCGTCAGGGGTCAACTCCTGGCTACAAATGATGAAAAACTGTAGACGTACTGCTCAAGTACTACGTGAGAATGCCGGTTCACTATAGTGAATGGAAAATAGTCAAAGTGAAACTTCAAGAATACTAGATAGCGTAAATCAGAAGGCCCTAGAAACGAGCTGCAGAATTCTTTCAGAAAGTCGCAAGCGTACCGGTAGACCCTCATTCGTTGATCCGTTCTGCCGAAAACTCAAGAACTTAGTGCCCAATCAACAGGCCTGCTGAAGGGCCTCTGAAAGGCCTTGTCTGCCATTACCAATTTGTCAAACATCCTACCCATCTGTCCCACAACCCATTGAAACGTCTAGAGAAATTACGAGAAATTACTGAGAATATTGTCAAAATAATAATCCGGGAACCGTCTAATTCTACTAATCTATATCTTCAAGGTGACAAGAAAACGGATTTCAGCCTCTGGCATACTGTTCATGGACTTGGCCCTGTGGAGGAAGGATGCTATCACAACCATTTTCTGCTGTTTGGATGAATAAGAGTCGAAATCCTGCAAGCTCTGAAATACTATGCCATCGTTCAAGATGCATCTCTTATTTTTATGGGTAACAGCACACAGAACCTTGGATGGACAATGAAAAACCTTGATTACACAGCCCAGATAATCCCAGACGTCGCTATTGCTAATTCTCTCTAGAGTCAGATTGTCGTCGTAACACTGACTGAATTGCTCAATCATATGAAAGGCCTCCCATCTTGAAATAATACACCGTTTGTCGTACTTGACGAATACCGAAACGTCATCAATGAGCCGTACACCTGCAAACAGTTTGTTCCTGTCACCTAAGAACCTGAGAAAACAAAACTCGTTATAGATGCACAGCCAAGGCCGGACTAGCCGGTTTTCCCATTGGAATTCCCACTCTTTGCTGCAAAACAATCCCCATGCACATTGTAAACGTATTTGTTAAGTCAAAGGCCACGAAACTAAGCAACTTGGAGAAGCTAACGGCCTTCCATCCCTCCTGTGTTTTCATTGCTTGACCATGGCACCTTTGCCTCTTCGCTTAACCCAAACTTTGTCGTGACCTTGTTCTTCGTACAGAAACACCAACCATTCTAAAGCGTTAAGAATGACGTTATGAGGTAAATTGGCAAACATTTGTTTCACGTCGAAACTTGCAGTGACCACTTCTTCAAAAGAGTCAACAAATTGATTAAACTTAGCTAGTCTCGGAAGAAGATCACCAGGCGACTTGAGATTAAGATTACTATTCTCCGGAAGAGACCAGAGCAGGCAATTGATTGTTTTGGACGTAAGTCTACTGAGACTGGCAAGAGGGTCGGACTAGGAGGGGCAGATTGGTCTCCATCGCTGCACGTCTTTATGTTTCGGCATCTCATAAGCCTTCCCCAACTGACAACTATAGTCCCATTGTGCAAACGTGTGGAACTTCTTCGAAAAATATTCTTTCTTGACGCCTTGTATGACCATGTGTTCACTTCTATCAATTTTAACAAACCCATCATTTTGGAGAAACAATGTATTTAATCCACCTAAATAGACTGTGGGGCAGCATACAAAGGAATCTCCGGGATTGTGATCAACAACGCAGACCACCAGACCTTCAAACTTAACCTTCCAATCTTTGACAATGTTACAGTCGGTGTCGTGAAAATGACCATGATCCTTCTTCTCGGAAAAACAACTTACCGAGTCAATAGTCGGGATCTGGAAATGCGAAGTGTCGTTTTGGACGGTACAAAGAGATTGAATGATAAAATTAGACAGAGCGGTTATGTTGGCGCGTAAGTTAGGGTAAGAGATATTACAAGAGTTCTTGAGGATGGGAGGGACCGACAAGGATGACAGTCTACATGCAATATGCCCATTAGTATAGGAAAATAAAAGTGGCGCAGGAGGGTCGGGTGATGGTGAAGAAAGGGGGAGGGGAGGGGGGTTTGATGAAAAAGACACAGAGGCAGAAGGATCTGGGAGGGAAGACGAGGAGTACTGTATAGAATGAGTAGAAGGAAGAACAGATCCAACAGGTCGAGAGAACGAATTACACGAGCATTGAAGAGAAGTGAGTCTAGCTACTTTCCTAAAGTTATGAATATAGTCGGCCACTGTTTTATTCTTAGGAGACACAATTTTCAATCTCCTACTAATGATATCCCGTAAAGGATTCCTGACTGCCGAACCCCGAATGACTCTAACGCATACTTTCTCGAGTTTCGATCGAGACAACCTTGCATCATAAGGAACCCGAACAACCGGTTTCACTCGGATGTTAAACTTGAACTTTGCACGAAAAACCCGTGACAAAACAGCTCGTAGGGTATTCCTACTCTCTTTCTTCGAAAAGGAACAAATTGCAGAATAATCGCTCAACAGTTCGTCAAAATCTTTCTTATAAAACTCCTTTCGTGACGCGGGACATGCAAGCAGAGGAATAAGAGTTCTCTTTCTTTCCAAAAACTTAGAACAGAACTTGGTCAACCCAACAAACTCTAAATCCCTCGCAGAACTGAGCCATTTTCTCGCGGATTTCAACAGACACGTTCCTAACTCGCACTTCACTACAGTAGAACCGTAAATCCTCCTTATCCATTTATCACAAAGAATAGATCCTCCCGAACACTTGACTCGAAAATTGACAATCCCCTTGTCAAAGGCAACATCTAGGACTTTATTTAGCGAAAACGAAGAAAAAAACAAAAGAAGCTCCGATTTTTAACAAGGATGAAGATTTCCCTGTGTTGCTTCGTACCTGAACGCAAATACGTTGCTTCTTACCACGTTCCTTTTTGCCAAGCTGACACTTCCTATTCGCATTGCACCTAGACTACCGTGGATTATTCAAAAAAAAGGAAAAAGAACGAATGAAAAAACTTTCGACGTTCAACAAATCATCAACAGCTGGGTCAGCAATCGGTATGGCCACATAGTTCTCGATACCATAACGTCTCAGCCATCGGTATAACCGATGGTTTCTCAGATTCTGATCCGTACCTTGATAGCTCGTTCGTTGTACGTGCTCTCTCCAACGAACATCCAAAGATCTAGTACTACATCCTACGTACGTATGTTTACACCAAGGGGAAATAATGACGTATACCACAGGACCGGGACAACTGCCAAAGTCGTATCTAGACTGAGACAGGGCAGAGACGTGCGAAGCAAACTTAGTCCCCGAGGAGAAAGCAGACGATAAAATAAGCAAAATGACCAAACTGCGAAACAACTGATTCAAGTCTAATCTACACAAACGTTCCTTCGAATACCTCACAGAGCGAGCATCAGACAACAGAGAAAAGATTCGATCAACGCTCGGAATCGACCTCACGAAGTCTCGGAGTTAGCAGGTCCGTCTGTGGAAGTTGCCGCCACATCGGAAGACACATTCTCCTCGTGCTCGTCTTCTTCCTGCTACTTGCCTTCGTCGTCGCTGACGAGTCTCCGATTCGTGGGTCGATCGAATGCCCTAATAGTGTAGATGTCAGCAAGATCCGCTGTTGTTTTCTTTACTCCTGCATAGTCAATCTCTTCTTCAGCACACAAGGTTTCGAGCTGCATTTTGCGCAACTTCGACAGATCGTTGTTCACACTTTTGAAGAAGACATCCCGTTCCTCTCCCACTTTTTTGACGAACGTGACTTTCACCTGATCTCCATTCCTGTGCGCTGGACTAGCCCCGCTCTTGCTCCTCCCTCTTAGTACCAGTTTCCTCTTCGTACTCGACGGAGACGTAATCTTGATTCGGTTGATTCGGTCCTTGAGCGCAGACACTTCTCGTTCCACCATATCGTTCTCATCTCGAATGTGTCTGTAGGCCTCCGTTAGCTTGGCCCACTCGGCAGGTGTCTGAGCGCCATCTTCTTGTCTAGATTTTCCTTTAGCCGGTTCAATAGGTGGACTCTTCTCTGTGACAGCTTCTGTGCTACGCTTACTGCCACGCTTCAAGACCTCCACTTCGTCTTTCAGAGAAAGAATGTCTTGGACGAGAGCCTGATTGTTCGTCTTCAGAAAATCCAACTCCCTACTGGCTTTGCCAAACGCCATCCTTATCAAATCATCATTATCTTTCCCGAGCCGTTCCATCTCCTCCATGCGTTGTTTCTCCAATTGTTCTCTAGCTGCGGCGTCTTCCCGCCGCCACCGATCATCCTGTTCCTTGCATTTGGCTTCGTTGCTACGTGTGTCATCACGTCTTGCCTCCATTACGCAACCATCGGTGGATACGCGGCTCGTACTCGCTTTCTTCCCCAAAACTTCTTGACAGACCTCCTTCATATTATCCTTCACCATCCTTTCGAGCGACTGTTCGAATTCTTCTCTCTCCTTCTTAGCCTTAGCTCGCTCTTCTTCCGCTGCTTGCGGTTTCCTCTTCTCCTCCTTCTCTTTCAGTTTCTCTTCCTTGGCACGCCTTTCCTTATCTTTGTTCTCCATCTCCTTCGAGAACCATCCCCAAACTTTGTCGAACCTTTCATCTTTCTCCCTTTTGCGGTTGTCCGTCCACCAATTGTTCCTTGGACGCTGCTGGTACCCCGTCCTCCCGTAGTTGTTGTTGTATCCTTGGTTGTACCCATTACCATACCTTTGGTTGTTGTATCCTCCATTTCCTTAATTGGCGCCTTGATTGGAGTTGTGCCGACTACCTTCATTCTGACCGCCGTTGGCTGCAGGTGGTCTATACGGCACAATCGCACTCGGGCCGGAAGCAATCCATCGTTATCTTGAGTCGGAGCTCCTCCATTGTCGCCTAGGAGAGCGGCGGCATTCGGGACCTGTCGAAGTTGACAGTCCCTAACAAAGTGACCGGGCTGCTTACAATGATGGCAGACCCGAGGACCCCCAGAATACATGTTGGCAAAGAATCGAAAAAATGAGACGAAGAAAAACAAGAATCAACAGAAGAAAGAGTGAAATTCGATCGTGACCAGTGAGAGCCTGCCAATATCGGCAAGACCAAGGACCGGTCAAAACGTAACCACACAAGCGTAGTGAATGCCACGGAGGTTGTTACGCGTATTGAAGCACATGAGTGTTCCAACCATTGATAGTCATACGACAAGCATACGACAAGATAGATAAAGGGGAGAATAAGGGGAGAAAAGAAAGCAGACGACTAAGATGAGTAAATCCGAGCACAGGTGCACATCGTTACGAAAGAAAATAGTGAAAACAACGATGTAGTACGGCGCGACCCGAGGCCGCGTTTCGACCAGTTGCCAACTGGTCATCGTCAGGGGTCAACTCCTGGCTACAAATGATGAAGAATTGTAGACGTACTACCTAAGTACTACGTGAGAATGCCGGTTCACTATAGTGAATGAAAAATAGTCCTAGTGAAACTTCCAGAATACTAGATAGCGTAAATCAGAAAGCCCTAGAAACGAGCCGCAAAATTCTGTCAGAAAGTCGCAAGCGTACCGGTAGACCCTCATTCGTTGATCCGTTTTGCCGAAAACTCAAGAACTTAGTGCCCAACCAACAGGCCTGCTGAAGGGCCTCTGAAAGGCCTTGTCTGCCATTACCAATTCGTCAAACATCCTACTCATCTGTCCCACAACCCATCTGCCTCAGAAAGACCGGAATGTGTGTTTCCAAAAAAACCCAAGCTCTGCAACGCACATAAATGTGGACAAAGCACAAAAATCCAGATTGGAAAATCACACTGAAGTCCAAGTAGTCAAAGCAAGAGCAGATAGCACAATGGAACCGAATAACCATCCATTTGAGAACGATACAGAAGAATCGTGAGTCAATGTCCAAGCCCAATCGGGCAACACCAACAACATAACCCAATGTAGCTCTCTCTCTTGAATGGCGCCAGGCGCCCTACCTACTCTACAACTTATCACTACAACTACAACATGAAAGCAGCCTGACAACTTGACGACCAGCGAGTGATGATGTCAACACCAATGCCGACTTCCTCTCCACCTGGTCCGTCCCTCTCTTCTCCCTCACTCTCCCTTGTTATCCCACACAGCGCCCTTCACCTCCGAAGAACCACCTTCGCCCTTCGCCTTCTCTGCGCCCACAGGCAACCCGACTATGGCCGCCAGCGCCTTGAGCCCAGGCTGCGCTCTACCGCTTAGCGCCAGCCTGCCTTCCTTAGCCTAGCGCAGCGCAGCACACTTGCAACGCAGCAGCGTGCCAGCCTTGCTTGCAATGGCCAAGATCCCTGCCCACTCGCCCTCCCTGCCTATATGCCAGTGTTGCGTGTGGGCGGCCTCCCTTGAGCTTGCGCCTGGGCCCCAGTACCTGTACCCAGGCCCAATGCGGTTGGGGCCCAGCAGATGCAGTTGCGCCTCTTTCATCAAGGCCTGCGGCCAGATTCAGATAGTGGACCGGTTTCCCATTGGCATTTTCGGCCTCGATTTCCAGCATGCATTGTCGGCCTCACGTTTATGTGCCCAGGGCCTAACCAACTCTGGATTTGCAGAGCTCCGATACTCGGTGCACTCCAACCAACTGGCGTGCTGCAACTGTATGGACCCCACTTCATGAAATGTTTGGACAGAGGGCTCTTGTTGATTTGCTGGCCCGCCTTCACTTAGGGCGGGCACGAGGCTTGCTGGGGTCTTAGCCCAGAACATGTACATCATGGCAAGGCCCCTTCTTGAGGGCTCAATCCTCACATTCCATCCCCCTTAGCTTCGAAAGTCCGCTGAGATGCTTACTTCGCAGGTGCCTTCCCTTTCAACATCCTTTCATATTCTGCCACCACTTGAGGAGCTGTGTCAATCAGTTCCTCTCTGGTAAACCACCGATCTTCTTTTGGATCCGTATGATGCCTGAATCTGACGCGATATTCTCTCTTGGGCTTGGGAGGTCTTCCTCTTCCCAGTGGCTTTGGAACAGGCAGGTCTCTGTGATCCACAGTGTCGTCGATGCCCACTTGGCCATCCATGGTTGGGGGCAACATCGATCTCCTTGAAGGGAACTGATCTGTCTCAGCGAAAGGTGCAAGCTTTGAGGCATGAAAGACAGGGTGGGTGCGCAAATGACCAGGGATACAGATAACGTAGGTAGGACCATCCATCTCATCTCCAACTATATCCAGGACTTCCCATGGACTAAAATACTGAGGCATTAGTTTGCAAGAGATTCCGAATTCCTGTCCTAGCTCACTAGCGTTGACCCAGACACGTTCCCCTACCTGAAATGAGGACTGCCGACGATGTTTGTTCTCAGAAGCGATCATTGCTTGCTGAGCTTTCTTGATGTGCTCGACAACTTGCTGCAACAACTTCTCATACTGCACACCATACTCAAGAGTGCTGGGAGTTGCAGAGGATCGATTTTCATGTAGGAGGAAGTCCAGAGCTGATCTAGGCTTCCATCCCAAGTGCAGCTGGTTAGGACTAACACCGGTACTGCTGTGTGCAACGTTGTTGTACAGGCTAGCGATGAGAGGCAACTTCTCATCCCAGTCATCCTGGCTGGGCTTGATGTAATGCCTCAGCAGATGTTGTACAACTCTGTTCATCTGCTCGGCCTGTTCGTTGGCTTCGGGATGATTCCCTGAAGTCATCTAAAGTTGACTGCCTATCTGCTCAACAGTCTTCTTCCACAACTCACTTGTGAAGCGGACATCTCTGTCACTAACGATTGAATTTGGTAAACCAAAATCACGCACCCTGTTGTCCATGAACAACTTGATGACGTGGTCAGTCCTTGCGGTCTCTGGCATGACAATTAGTTTAGCGTATTTGGTGAATCGATCAATGATGACAAAGATGTGCCTCTTGCCACTCTTACTAGTCACTAGGGTGTCCATGAAGTCTATGGAAACACTCTGTCTTGGACCAGCGGGGATAGGCAAGGGCTTTAGCAACCCAAGCGGTGCTTGAGTTCGTGGCTTGTCCCGCTGACAGACCTGACATGTCTCCACATATTTCTTTGCATCTTCTAGCATTCCTGACCACCAAAATCGCTGTACTAGATTAGCACTCGTCTTTTTGTAACCAAAGTGTCCGGTTGCGTCATGACATTCTCCTAGAAACAAACTACACAAACATTCACTAAATGGAATCACTAATCTTTTACAACCGGCCTTATCAAGAAAGAGAAGCCCGTCCACCATCACAAGCTCATCCTCTGTGGCCTTGTCTTTCGCCTGAAGTTTGCGTATGATGTCCATCGTGACAGGGTCTTCCTGATAGGCTCCCACTAACGATTGAGTTAGTTTTTCAGATACACCAAAGTCAGAAACTAGCGCGCCTAGGTAGTCTGCTCTACGTGACAGTGCATCTGCAACCTTGTTGTACTCTCCCTTCAGATACTCTAGCTTGAAGTCATACTGATCTATGACCTCAATCCATCGCTTGAGTGCATCAGAGAGAGCCGGTTGAGTCTTGATCCATTTGAGGGTCTGATGGTTATTTCTCAAATAGAAGAACCTTCCCAACAGAAAGTGTCTCCAATGAACAAGTGCATTGTAGAGAGCATAAAGTTCCCTTTCATAGGTCGACTTTGCCAGTTTCTTTGATGGCATTTTCTTGCTCATGTACTCGATCGGCCTCAACTTCTTCTCATCCTGTTGAGCCAGCATTGCGCCAATGCCGCATTGGCTTGCGTCAGTGGTCACTATGAATGGCTTCTGAGGATCGGGCACCATAAGAACCTCATGATTCATGAGTGCATGCTTCAATCGTTTGAAAGCAGCCTCGCACTCATCACTCCAGTCCCACGGCGTGTCAAGTCGAGTTAGATCAGTCAAAGGAGAGGCGACTGTAGAATAGTTCTTTACGAAGTTCCTATAGTAGCCGCACATGCCTAAGAAAGATATGACCTCAGTAACAGTCTGAGGTCGTGGCCAGTCCCTGATACTAGCCACCTTCGCATCTTCCGGCCTAATACCTTCCGCGGATACTTCATGACCCAAGTATAAGATCTTAGTGCATCCAAACTCACATTTCTCTAGGTTGACCTTATACTTGTGTTGTTGCAGGAGTGAAAGTACAGTCTCAACGTGTTGTGCATGCTCTTCGACAGACTTACTAAAGATAAGAATATCGTCAAGGTAGACTACGACAAACTTATCTAAGTGGTCATGGAAGATCCTATTCATGACGTGCTGGAATGTACCCGGCGCATTGCAAAGGCCAAAGGGCATCACTACAAACTCATACAGACCGTATCTGGTCTGAAAAGCAGTCTTGTGCTGATCCTCAGGTCTTATTCCAATCTGATGGTAGCCGGATTTTAAGTCTATCTTGCTATAGTACTTACATCCCTGCACCCTATCCAATAGCTCGTCTATGCGAGGTAGAGGCTCTGCGTTCTTTACTGTGATGGCATTGAGGCCTCTATAATCAATGTACATCCTCAATGTACCCCCCTTCTTTGGTACAAATAGTATCGGAGATCCGTAGGGGGAAGTACTCGGCCGGATCCATCCCTTTTCGGTACGCTCTTTCAGTTGTCGCCGAAGCTCGTCCAACTCGGCCGGAGCCATCCTATAGATCCTTCCCTTTGGGGTTTTACTCTCTGGAATGATTTCAATGGCGTGGACAATCTCCCTCTCTACGACTCCTGTAGGTTCCTTAAACAAATCAGGGAACTTAGCAACGACGTGTTCTATCTCTGGGGGTGTTTTAACGGCCACCCCTTTCTCAGAGACATACACTAGGTACACACCCTCCTCTTGGTTCTGTTTATAATAGTTATAGAACGCTGATGCACATAAGCAGCCATAGGTATCGATTATACTACTGGCTTTGAACTTAGTCAGTCTAACTGTTCTTCCATCAGGCAACTTATGCTTTAGCACCTTCTTGTCCCAGTCAAACTGGGGCTTGGCAACCTCAAGGTAGTACATTCCCAACAACATATCAAACGGTAAGTCGTCGTTAACCAGGAACGAAATCTTGTGATTAAGTTCCCCTCCTCCATAGGAAAAGGTGCAGACTACATCCTTGATATAGTCTGTGACAATCATGTGCTCCTTATTGGCCAAAGTAGATGCTACAGGTCTAGTAAGGTGCTGTACCCGGTCCTGTAGGCGCAACCTTTCCAAACAGTCGCGACTTATGTAGTTCCGCGTGGAGCCGATGTCTATGAAGGCACCACATTTGCGGCCTCCTACATCAACTTCCACAACGAAATGTTCCCCTCTAGGACCTTTCCTTAGTGCCACCCAAGATTCACGAGGGTCCTTACTTGACCACTCACTTTCCAAATCTTCTAAGGCTTCAGACACATCCAACGTACAAAGCATGGTTTGGTCTGGATGAGTCTGCAGGGTGACTAAAGAGTCATTAGCTATGGTCTGCTCATGAAGTGGGGAGGGTATCTGACCCTCTTCACCTTGAGTAAAAGCACCACCGGCCTTACGTGTTTCCCGAGCTAGAAGCCTGGGAAGAAGTTGCCCCTATCTTAGGAGGTATCTTTTGCGTGACCTTTGCGTTCTGGCACTTATACTGAGCGTGTCCGTATTCACTACAGTTGATGCAAGCACCACGCACTCTACAGTCCCGCCACACTTCCTGATCAAGACCTGCTTTGATCCAATCAGCAACTTTGGTCTGATTGGAGGCGGCCTGCTCTTGACTCTTTTGATGGCCCTTCCCTCGGCCACCTGCCTTAGTCTTTACTACTGCGGCGAGGGTGCTACCCTCAGCAATCTCCTCGCCGTCGTACTCTGAATAGTCCAACAGGTTTGTGTGCTCTTCGATCTCTGTTTGAGTCCCAGCGAACTCAACCATCATCAATTTGCTCCCCTTCTTCTTCCATTCTTGTAGACTCTTCTTCTTCCTCGCGTCAACTGAAGTAGGTTGAACACTTCCTAGAGTGGCCTATAAATCTAAGGCTTTTCTAGATAATGTCTCAAACGAGTGATACTCGAGGCGAGCCTCGCTGGCGAGTAAGTTCCTGAGATTCTCTGGGAGACATCTCACAAACATGGTCAATAAGACCTGGTCATCGTAGCGTATGCCGGGAACGACGATAAGGCTCTCTATGGTAGTCGTTAGCTCTCTGACTGACTTGAACTTTCGTTGGTCTAGTCTATGCATCGCATCAGTGACAATTTGTGCCTGCTGTGGATTGTGCCAGCGAGCTTCTACCATTTCCAAAAACTCTTCTAACGTTAGGGTCTTAGCCCAGTCCGCCATGCGTCGCCCGTACCCTGCCTTTGCCACTAATCCATCCAGCCATTTGGCTGCCTTACCCTCAAGGTAAGATGCAACAGTAATCACCTCCTCCTCCTAGTCCTCTTTGCCCTTACCCACACTGGAACCGTTCTCAACCATGTGTTGAGTTCCTCATCCTTCTTTTCTCCGAAGAAGGCAAGGGGCGGTTTCATCGGGGTCTTTGGGTACCATTGACCTTGATGCTGTCCCTGTTGAGGAACAGGTTGTTGCGGTGATGGTGTAGCAACCACCGATGACCCAGAAGAAGAAGAAGCAACAGTCTGTCCGGCTGTTGCGAACGTGCTACTTGGTTGTGTGCCAGCTTGTACCGGAAAGGGGCCTTACATCGCCATTAACGGCAACGGCGACTGCGCTGCTGGCCGAAATCCTGGCCTTTGTAAAAGGTCCAAGATCTGGTCCAAAGAGTTCTGCATGAAATCCAGTCTGCTGTCCACATGCGCATGCAGCGACAACATACTGTTCTTCAATATTTTCAGTTGGTCAGACATAGTTGACTCATCCAAACCCTCCAATGCAGCCTTGTCTGCCTCTAACGTATCAAGCCTGACTGTTCTATTTTTGATTTCTCTTTCTCTGTCAGTTGCCTGTTTCAGTTCCCTCTCTAACCGCTCGCGGATCCTTTCGACCTGTTGGAGCTCTAGGAGCTCCCTACCGCGTGGGGTCAACGGGCTTAACTGCGAGCCCGCCATTTGACTTGTGGACTGACTAGAACCTACTGATCCGGAAGTACCCGGGGATCCAAGGGGCATTCCCAACTGAGTCCCAGACGAGGATGCAGCACAGGCTGCGCCGTTAGCTATTGTTGCTGCTCTGGCTGCTGCTGCCTGATCTCTAGCTGCTAGGTTTGCTGCTGCCCTCGCTGCTGCAAGAGCACGGACTCTACGTTCGGCACGAAGCCGTGCTTCGTCTCCCGGTTGTAGGGTCTGGAACACGTGCGGGACCCTTAGTGGTCTCGAACGTGTCAGTCTCACATTGTCAACTCTACCCTCATCGGTGTCTGACCCGCTCATCGGTTAGGCAAACACTATCTGCACTACAACTCCCTGCTGGAGTCCTACCACAACATGTGTCTGACCGGCACCTAATTTTCTAAAAATAAATGTGTCCGGCAGGTCCCCTACTTGACCGATCAAGTGGTAGCCTACAACATTCACAAAAGACTGTCTACATAGTTTAGTCTTGTCATGATTAGTTCACTTACAAAAGTTTGCATAGAACTGGCTATGGTAGTATACAACAGTCCTAATACTAAACTGTCTGTGAGGTATTAGCAGTCTGTCAACCAACTAATCAAGAACAAAACCAGACTATGTTGCAGATGTATGAACAGTGGGTATAGTTGTATTCACAGTTGAGCACCAATTAGAACCTACCCTCCCCTCAATCCAACATACCGAAGAGCATCTTTGAGCAGCAGTGTCTTCGTGTGTATTGTCGGCCCACCCCTGTGCCCCAAGTCATTGCCGAGCAAGCCAGCCAGTCCACTCTTATTTACCCTCGTACGAAACGAGCCTTACACCCGGTTGATCTGGCTGATTAGGAGGAATTTTAGGAGAGCCCCCATCTCCTCAGGAATTATTTAACGTCGCAGTCAGGACGACGATCACAACCAGATTCAATCAGAGTCCCCAACCAGAAATATTTATAGACGGTCTGGTAAGCGCGTCTCATCAAAGGCTGGCACACCCGGCACGACTTCTATAGCGCAACAAAGTGCCAAAATGGACAAGCAGCCATCGCATGCGTGACCTACTCCCATTGGGTTGGCATGGTGACCGTGACCCAGTGCTTCGACCAGGGCCCTTCAGAGGCACCGCCCTTTCTCCTTCCAGATGCTTCCGGGAAGATTGTCGTCTCTC